CTTCCTTCCACAGCCAAGTCACAGCATTGCACTGCGTGGGGAGGAGTCCTCGAGACCAATGTTGTCATGGTTCCATCTTAATTTTTATCAGCTGGATGCGAATTAGGCTTCATTGTCATATGCTTAATGCATTTGCTCAGATCTTTGGCTAACCAATGTTTTTCCATGACTTTTTGACAGCTATTTTTGTTCAATAATGAATAATAAAGTGAGATTTACCATCTGTAGATGACAACATTTGTTTTATTTTGACATTTCTTTGCTAGACGGCAATGATTTTATAATTAGGTTTTTCTTCTGCCAAAAACATTGTTGAGAAAACGTTTTCCCTGAAAAAAAAAAAAAGTTTCATAGCTTCCTATGCTAGTTGGAGTCATCTTATTTTGATTTGGAAGTTTTTCCTAAGTCAGTTGGGAAATGAAACAAGAAAAATCTCTCTTGAAAATTAATTCTTAACAAGAACAAAGATTAACTGTTGCCCAAAAGAAAATGAGAAAATGAAAAGAATCGTGTTTGAAATGGTAGTGGTTCCATCAATGTCCTTTTGAATTTTAATTTATGTCAGACTTAAGTGAACAATATTGGAAACCCCCTTCACTACCTTCTTTCAAGTGAGCTGACTTTATTCTTGTTGTTACTTTGATCACTTTTATGTCTAACTCTTTGAAATACCTGTGAAACTATACTAGATCTGGTGGATAGTACCCCATTTCTCAAAGTCCTGAGTCTGTGAATTTTTTGCTGAGAAGTGGCGACTATTGGCCAATGCCTCCTGGCCAGGTCCCTCGCAAAGCTGAATGGCTCTCTTCATGCCGTGGATTCTGCAGTTGGCTTTGTGACTGGGGAGCCCAAGAGAATGAGTTGCAGGTGTGTCGATTAACAGCGCTTTCTCCCTGGGGTGCTCTCAGAAAAATGATGGAGGAAGCCACGTCGATAACAGATAATAGACTCCCTCTTCATTGCTAATGGGAAAAACATCACAGACGCTAACGGCAAAAACAGCCACACTCACTGCATCAGCGCCTCCCAAATAAGATGTGGAAACACCTTCCAGCTCCTACAGTAGCAGCGGAGGCCAAATTCTCTTTACAGCCCAGAGTATTTTCCTTCCTGAGTCATACCTCAAGGCTGCTCCTAAAATCAGATTCCAGACCCAGCCTACCCTATCTCCATCACCTCTACTCTTATTTCTGTCATCGTCATCACCCAGCATTTTTGCTTTGAGCTCTAACAAATAGGTAGAATTGAAAGAGACATTACCTAATGTTTCAAAGGAGTATATATCTATCAAAAATGGACACAGCAGGCGCCTCCTACAACACTGAGCCAGTATCATGCAGCGGTCTCCAGCCTTTCTGGCACCAGGGATTGGTTTTGTGAAAGACAATTTTTCCACAAACCAAGTCCAGGGGATGATTTGGGCATGATTCAAGCACGTTACATTTATTGTGCACTTCATTTCTGTTATTACTGCATCAGCTCCACCTCAGATCATCAGGCATTAAATCCGAGATGCTGGGGCCCCTGATTTATAGCAATCCAGAGAGCAGAGGGAAATGAGTGCTGTCGTAGACATTCTTGACTTCATAGGTAGACTATATACATTTCTCCAGTGTATTTCTGTATCACATGAGTAGCACCTTCTTTTAAGTTCTGATGTATTGATTGTTGGTGACTAATAGTGAAGAATAAGGAGCATGGAGGAATTCCCTTTAACTAAAGATGGTGCCCCTTGTTTTGAACATGTAGGGTCTCAGATCAGTTCAGTCACTCAGTCGTGTCTGACTCTTTGTGACCCCATGAACTTCAGCACACCAAGGTTCCCTGTCCATCACCAACTCCCGTAGCTTGCTCAAAGTCAGGTCAGTTGAGTCAGTGATGCCATTCAACCATCTCATCCTCTGTCATTCCCTTCTCCTCCCACCTTCAATCTTTCCCATCATCAGGATCTTTTCCAATGAGTCAATTCTTCACATCACATGACCAAAGTATTGGAGTTTCAGCTTCAGCATCAGTCCTTTCAATGAATATTCAGGACTGATTTCCTTTAGGATGGACTGGTTGGATCTCCTTGCAGTCCAAGGGACTCTCAAGAGTCTTCTCCAACACCACAGTTCAAAAGNATTTCTCAGGAGTCAGGTAAGGTGGTCTGGTATTCCCATCTCTTTAAGAATTTTCCAGCTTATTGTGATCCACACAGTCAAAGGCTCATGTGAAATAGAATGTGTATTTAATAAAGCGGCCTGGATGACCATTTGTTTTGTCAGGAAGAGATGTGAGGTTTCAGAAAAGGTTCTTGGAAGTCTGATAGCCAATGATGAGATGGTCACCCACTCACGTGTTAAAGAACTGTTCCCTTCATCTAATATGGCTCAAGACTCTTCCCTCTCCCCTTCTTGAGGCCCAGAGAAGAAGCAAAGGCCTGTTGTGTCGAGGGCTTGGTCAGAAGCCCCCTGAGAGTAGAGCCTTGAATTTCCTACCCGCCAGCGACAGGGACACCTCTGGGGGAGTTACTGTCTCCTTGAAGCAGCTCTCCTGCTGTGTCATGGGGATTGTGCGCACATGGTTGAGATGGACTCTATTATATTTTTCTCAGGGAAGTGGAACTTAACGCCCCTAAAAAACCCACTCCACTCCAGGGACATCAGGAGCAGGGCGCTCAGGGGGCAGGAAGTGACTGGGAGTCACACAGACTTTGAATCCTAACTTTGCCAGTTAATGGCTGTTTGGCTTTTTCAGATCTCTCTCTCCCCCTTCCTCTCTCTCTCTCTGTTTCATGACAAAAGAGTTATAATACTAGACTATCTGTATTGTTATAAATATTGTTGTTGTTCAGTTGCTCAGTCATGTCTGACTCTTTGCGACCCCATGGACTGCAGCATGCCAGGCCTCCCTGTCCATCACCAACTCCCAGAGTTTACCCAAACTCATGTCCATTGAGTCGGTGATGTCATCCAACCATCTCATCCTCTGTCTTTCCCTTCTCTTCCTGCCTTCAATCTTTCCCAGCATCAGGGTCTTTTCTAATGTAAGGTCCTGATGCTGGAAAATATATGTAATTTCTAATATAAATATTAGCTCCCATTTATTGAGCACTTAGATTGTGCCAGGTCCCTAGCCAGGCAACTGTCATAAATGATGTGACTTAATTCTTACCATAATATATGAATGAGGTAGGAATTATTGTCTCTACATTCAAGGTGAGGAAACTTTGGCAGTGTATTGCCCTGGGTCACACAGCTAGTGTGTGGCTGGCATCAGGCTTCAATTCCAGGTCTATCAGACTCCAGATTCTGTGATAATGTGAAATTAAAGCAGTGCCTAGTGCAGAGTGGGTGCTTAACAAAGGCTGGTTCTCTTTCCTTCCATGAGAATCCTTTGGCTGTGGTAGAGCTTGATTTCTGTGTTAGATTTCTTTATACGTGCATGCTTAGTCACTCAGTCGTGTCCAGCTCGGCAACCTATTGTTCTGTAGCCTGGCAGGCTCTTCTGTCCGTGGGATTTTTCAGGCAAGAATCCTGGAGTGGCTTGCCATTTCCTTCTCCAAGATTTCTTTATATATTTGTTCTATAGAGCAGATCTGTCATATTGCCCGTGCCACCGCCCGCCGCCCCCCGGCCCCGTGGTTCATTTGGACATAGTGGCTTTTAGGAAAACAGTTAATTGGGGTATAATATACATGCAAATATATGGGCTTCCCCAGTGGCTCAGATGGTTAAAGAATGTGAGAGACCCAAGTTTGACCCCTGGGTTGGGAAGATCCCCTGGAGGAGGGTATCTTCAGTATTCTGTCTTGGGGAATTCCATGGTCAGAGAAGCCTGGCGGGCTACCATCCATGGAATCACAAAGTAAGACATGACTGAGCAACTTTCACTTCACTTCACTTTTACATGTAAATAAGTGTTATTTAAAATGTCTCTGAAATCACCTGAGCGTGCGGGTACTTTGGGAGATAATATGATTCTACAACCTCAGTGTATAGAAATATGATGTTTATTTTCTACAGCCTAACTCAGTTTCTGAGTCTGAGCCCCACCCAACTGGTCAGATATTGAGGTCACCCTTGTAACTTCTCCGGCTCCCCCAGTGTCCTCCGTTCCCTCAGTTGTCTTGGAAGAGAAACCTTTTCCCTAGCACACGTCTTACAATGCAGCTTTGTCCTGCCGTCTTGTCAAGAATTTTTCTTGCAATTATTTTTTCCACCCAACTTTTCTATGTGCCGAGATATTTAGCCCACTGGCAAAGTTTTCAACTTTCACACTTAAGCAAGAGTTCAAATCGCCAGGGAGTCAAATGTTAATTCCATGACCAGTTTAAATGTTAGAAAAATTTTCCAGAAAGAAAATAAAAACGTTCCCTCTCCCCACTCACTAGGAGCTTTAGGTTTCTAAGTGAAGCTTACTCAGAGGTGTCTTTTTGTGTATCAGGAGGTGCTTCCTGATGGCGGCTCACACAGAAAAGAATCTGTCTGCAATGTGGGAGACCCGGTTCAATCCCTGGATCGGGAAGATTCCCCCGGAGGAGGGAGGTCACTCCAGTATTCTTGCCTTTAGAATTCCATGGACCGAGGAGCCTGGTGGCTACAATCCATGGGATCACAAAGAGTTGAACAGGACTGATCAACTAACACTTTGACTTTCCTTTTCTGCCTACCTGGGTTCAGTCTCCTGTGTTACACAAACTTGCACGCGTGCATCTGAATCTTAATCAATGCTCAGCAGAGCCCAAGCAGTTCCCCTCAGAGGCTTGTTCTTCAGTGGCTTTCTGCATGGGGGATTTCGTGGTCTCCCATCAGACGTGTCCCGGGCTGCCCCGGGGTCGTGTCTGTCAGTGGAGGGTGGTGTTGGGCGGGAGGAGGGTCGCTGGTGCAGAAGACAGGAAAGAGGAACTCCCCTTTTGCATTCTGAAGCACCGTTTAATAACAGCACACATCCAAGGCTTTCTTCCACGTGTCTGGTCGTTAAGCTTGTCCTCACGCCGTGACCTGACTGTGTTTCAGATAACGGCGGGCAGACCTTGGCGGGGGGCAACAACTGGCCGCTTCGAGGAAGAAAGTGGAGCCTGTGGGAGGGCGGCGTGCGAGCCGTGGGCTTCGTGGCCAGCCCCTTGCTGAAGCGGAAGGGCGTGAAGACGCGGGAGCTCATCCACGTTTCTGACTGGCTGCCCACCTTGGTGAAGCTGGCCGGGGGCAGGACAGCCGGCACCAAGCCTCTGGATGGCTTCGACGTGTGGGCAACCATCAGGTACGGCCCCTCTTCCTCTTCCCCTCTGAGGCCGGGAGCTCCAGAAACATCTGGACTGGACTGAGAAGGATTGCTTTCATGTGAAAATGATAGTATAGCTTGCAAACAAAAGATTTTTTAAAAAAGAAATGCCTTTACAAATACATACATATACATATATATGTATAATATGAGGAGCAAGATCGTCCTCAGTGGCTGACCCTCTACGAGAGGTCTTTGTAGAAGAAGCCACGCTAACAAATTGGATAGGGTACTGTTTGCTTCCTGCAGAGGGTCAGAAGACCTGTTCTCTTGCCTGCTAGGAGAATGGAAGACCAAGGAAGGGAGGGAAGATCTGGAAATAGCCTCATCTTCTAAAGTTTAGATTTTACCCTTAGATATAAATGATTTGAAATTAAATATTTAATTGAGCTAGAGGATGACCATTTGAATGAATTTATTATTTTTCCTCTTGTTTTTTTGTTCAGAACCATTTTTCTCAGCTTGAAATGGGCCAGATATTTATCCATATTTTCTTCTAAGTGTTGTGGTCTGAGTCTCTTCCATGTAATTCTTGGACTATTGTGACATGATTTTATGTGTTCCATGAGGTCAATATCTAAATCAGAGGAATGGAGTTTTTTTCCCTCAGGTTTTTGAATCATAGACCTCTTTGAGACTCTGAAAACAGAGATTACAAAAAAATGTACCTAAGCATATGCACAAAAGCTTAGATAGAATTTATTTTTATGGTATTAGATATTGATTACATATTCTTTGCTGTGTACACATAGAAAATATAACATTCTTTGAAAGCCTCTGCCTCTCACTCATTTTTAATACAAAAATTAATACTCACTTTATGATAAAAAGGAAATAAAAATTTCCAAGCAAAACAAAACTTGAACTTCAGCTTACTGCCAGCTTTCACTGTGAAGGCTATTGGAGTTTGACTCATAGAAGCAGGAGAAAGTTTTTGAATCATTTTGCTATGACAACATATGGGTCAGCCTTTATACCCAATCAGTTTTGATTTTTTTGTTTTGTTTTGTGGCTAAAATGTCATAAACCATGGCTTATAAAAGCACGTAATAGCCAATGGAATCAAAGCTCTGTGGCATACTTGGCCAAATGAGGCTTGAGTTAAGAAACAGTTGAATTTATTTTGAGTGATTTCCTCTGTCCCAAGAGTCACAGAAGTTTTGATCTTTAGTAAAGTCCCAGTCATTGATGTTCATCCATATCACCAAATTTTGGACTATCCATCCACATTTCACATTTCAGTGGAATTCCACATTTCAGTCTTAAGATTAGCTTGGTCAGAAGTAACTTTAAGGACTTTGGCATATATTTGCTTCTGCTTGCAGAGGAACTGGAAGAAGTTTGGCCACCCTTAAATGCATATTTCAGAAGGTCTTTCCTTAGTATCAGAGGAGAACTTCTAGTGGCCCATCCTAAAGAGAACAAGAGCTCTGCATCCTCCAGCAACGGACACAGTGTTGACTGCAGGGCTGTAACCAGAATGTTGTCACCAACAGTATTGTCCCAGTGTGTGAAACCATGAGAGAGTGGTTTTCCTTTTCTATCTGGAAAAAATAAAATTTCTGCCCAGTATCTAATCAAGCATCTCAAGATTTTCCTCTGGAAATTCAGTAAGTGTCTGTTTCATAAGTGAAGAGCTGCTCTCATCCTGTTCCCATTTATGGATGAAAGAACCTGAAAAACAATGATTCAGCCCCCACCGTCCCGATAAAATGGATGCTTCTCACAACATTAGGCAAGCGTTTATTCAGTACCAGTGGTAGAGCATTTGGCACCCACGCCTGCCAAGGCAGAAAGCATCCAGTCTCACTGACGTCGGGAGCATCTCTTCCAAAGCAGTAAAAACAAATGGACAGCCAAATGTCAGAGACACTCAGTCTGTGCCCAGAGTTCTGGAACTTTTTTCAGTAAGATATTTACTTGGAAATACCATTTTCAAGATGATGATAGTTTTTGAAAATTTCAAAAGGATCTGATGAAAGAGGAATGCCAGTAATGGCAGTAACAGAGTCGGGTGTCTGAAAACATCCCGAGTTTCCCTAGTGCCATAATTATCAATTCCTCTCAAGCCTGCTTCAAAATACTAAATTTTAGAAGAAATTGCCATTTTGGAGTGGGTGACATTCTTTGTAATAGGAGTTCCTTGACTTCTATTTTTCATCTGTTTCAAGATACAGTGCATGTTTGTCAATTGTAGGGGACATCACCTCTCCAAGTTCTTTCTGATTCTGTATGGTTTCTCTGCTTTTCATCTTAATAAGCCGCCTATAATTTGTTTCAAGTCCTTTCAAAGGATTTTTGAACTTATTTTATGTTTCATTAAACTTATATAAACATAAGCAGAGCCCCTAATCATAATAGAAGGAATGTTGTTCCTTTCTGATCAATGGGAAACTGATCTAGATGGTATATCTTTCCAACCCAGGTTCAATCCTGGGTTCAATCCCACACTGCAGGCAGATTCTTTACCATCTGAGCCACAAGGGAAGCCCTTTTATTATTATAAGGATGGTGACAATCAAATATTATCTGATAATGTGAAATATCTTAAAAACTTACTATGAAACTATAAAGATTTTCCCCACCTCATGGATTCAATTTTAAGAGAAATGTTGAAGGAAAGATAAGTCACTTTTCATCCCATTTTCACAGATACCATGAGGCCTAAAGCACTTGTAATACTTTATGAGCCAAAGTTTAAGAACCTCTACTAAAATCATGCTTTATTTAAAACATTAAGACAACTCAGACTGATTTTTGAGTAGTTATTACTGAATAATAATTTCATTGTTATTATTATTGAATATTTCCTTTTTTACTTATTTGTAGTACCACTTTATGTTCTTATTAGTGCTATGATCTGTCTGGATGCCATCTGTTTTAATCCACTGACTTATCTGTTCTTGTGTTAGCACCTGACTGTTGTAATCTGTAATCTGCTATTAATATAACTTCTAGGGTATATTTATATACCCCTCCCCATTATATTTCCTTTACAAAATTTCCTTGACAAGTCTCACGTTTCCCTGGTGGTCCAGTGGTTAAGACTCCACACTGCCAATGCAAGGGGCACAGGTTTGATCCCTGGTCAGTAAAGTAAGATCTCACGTGACCCGCGGCAAAATAATTTAAAAATAAATTGAGATGAGTCAAGGGCTCCTTAGGTACATGAATATATATCTTGTAGGGATTATTAAGTGGTGTTTTTAAAAGAAAAAGCAGGATTTTAAAATATATCTTATAATACAATGATGCATGAATGGGTAATGATTATGTAGTGTAAATTATATAACTTCAATCACAAAAAAAAAAAAAATGAGATTAACCACAAAAATTAATTTGGGAAGAATGGAGGTATTTGTCTTCTCACCTAAATCTTCTCCCTGCTGATTAATGCTCATTTCTTTTTGTTTGTTTTTTTTGTAATTATTTTTTCTCTATATATTCCCTTTTGGATAGATTCTGTTAGTATGCCTTCAAGTTTTGTTTTTTTTTTTCTTAATTCTTACTCTTCTTTTAAATTCATCCAATATATTTTTCTTTTTTGAAATTTTATTTTTAAATGTGATAAATACACATAACAAAATTTACTATCTTAACCATTTTTAAGTGTACAGTTCAGTAGTGTTACCTGTATTCACATTGTTATATAACTAATCTCCAGAAACTTTTCTATCTTGCCAAACTAAAACCATATATACATTAAACAACAATTTTCTACTTCCCCTTCTCCCCAGCCCCTGGCAGCCACCCTTCTACTTTCTGTCCCTATAAATCTGACTGCTGGAGATACTTCATACAGGTGAAATGCTACAGTATTCGTGGTTTTGTGACTGGCTTGTTTCCTTTAGTTCATTCATATAGCATGTGACCTTCCTTCCTTTTTAAAGGCTGATTAATATCCCACTGGTATATACCACATTTTGATTTTCCATACATCCAGTGTTGGACACTTGTATTGTTTCCCCCTTTGGCGTTTGTGAATAATGCTGCTATGAGCATAGGTGTACAAATATCTCTTTGAGACCCTGCTCTCAATTCTTTGGGTTATACACATAGAAGTGAAATTGCTGCACCGTGTGGTAATTCTATTTCTAATTTTTTGAAGAACTACTGTACTGTTTTCCATAGTAGCAGTACCATTTTATATTCCCAACAGTGTACAAGAGTTCCAGTATCTCTTCATCCTCACCAACACTGATTCTTTCCTTCCCTTAAAAAAAATTTTCTATGAGCCATTCTGATGGATGTGAAGTGATATCTAATTGTGATTTTGATTTGCATCTCCCTTGCATTTAGTGATATTGAGTATCTTTCATGGGTTTGCAGATCATTTGTATATCTTCTTTGGAGAAATATCTACTTGAGTCCTTCATCCGTTTTTAAATGAGATTTTTGTTGTTGTAACTATTGAGTTGTAGAAGTTCTTTATATATTCTGGATATTATTATATATCCTTGTTATATATATTGTTAGCAGATATTTTCTCCTATTCTGTAGATTGCCTTTTCTTCCTAATGAATATGTCCTTGGATGTATGTCTTTTAAAGGAGTCATGAATTCTGCATATTTAAAATATCTGAATGCAAGTTATTAGCTTAGTATTTTTGAATCTTATATTAATCATCAATACTCTTACAGTCAAATTTGCAATTAAAAATATTCAGAATTTATAATATCACTTATTTGTATTAAAATATAGCTGATTTACAATATTGTGTTAATTTCTGGTGTCAAAGTTATCTATACACATTTTTCAGATTATTTTCAGTTATAGCTTCCATCATACAAATTATTGACTATAGTTCCCTATAGTTCCCTGTGCTCTGTGGTAAATCCTCATTGCTCACCTATTTTATGCAGAGCAATTTGTATCTGTTAATCCTGTACTCCTAATGTACCCTTCATCTCCTCCCTTTCCCTTTGGTCACCATAAATTTGTTTTCTATGTCTGTGAGTCTGCTTCTCTTTTGTATATG